GAACTCACAGAGATCCGCCTGGCTCTGCCTCCCGAGTGCTGGGATTAAAGGCGTGCGCCACCAACGCCGGCTCCGTTGGTGTACACTTTTAATCCCAGCACTTGAGAGGCAGAAGATGGTGGGTCTCTGTGAGCCCAGGGCAAGCTTGGTCTACATTAGCAAGTGCCAGGACAGCCAGGACCACAGAGAGAAAAACGTCTCAAAAAAAAAGTGTGTAATGTGTGGTAGAGTCCTAGTTTACACACTGCCACATCTCTGACTTAGTGTGCATTAGATTGTATTTTATTTTTAAATCACTCAATGTTAGAAGCAGCTTTCAAATTAAAATATGGTATTTTTCAAAGTTAAACTTTTTATCCACGGGGGGAGTGGGGAGTGGACTCAAAGCAGTTCTGCAGCTATAAACTAGCTAAAGTGAAGACGATGTGTAGACAATTATTTTAAGATCATGGGTTGTGATCTACTAATAGGTTGGCAAATTAGTAGGTCAAAATGTGTCTTTAAGACTTAAAAATTATATTTGTATATATTTTGTGTGTTTGTGTGCATGTCTGTGGGTGGGGATGCACATGTGCAGTGCACACGCGGAGATCAGAGGACAACTTGCAGGAACCACGTCTCTCCTTCAGTCATGTGGGCCTCAGGGTGAGCACTCTGGTGTTCAGGCTGGGCAGGTTTCTTTCCCTACTGAGCCATCTTATCTTACCTGCTCTGAGATGTAGTTCTTTTGAAGAATGAGATAGAAGAGAATAAAAAGAATCAATGTATCCTGTGCATAGTGAGATGCTTCCTGCTTTATGGACCTTTGCTTCTGTCACATGCATTTCCATGTGTACTGGGTCATGTTGTACTCAGACCAGCAGTTTCCAAACTTCAGATTCAGAATTGCCTGGTGCTGGTAATGAATGGTTTCCCTGGCTTAAGTCTTCTAAAATTCCAATTCTACTGGCCTGGGAGAAGACCAGAACTCCCTAAGACAACTGCTTCAGTCTGGGCTAGCATCTTGACTAGACTCCAGTCACTGTGCAGCCAGGTCACCAGGCTCCTGTGTGC